CTCTCTCTCTCTCTCTCTCTCTCTCTCTCTCTCTCTCTCTCTCTCTCTCTCTCCTCTCTTGCTCCTGCCACCCCCCATCTACTGACCGAAACCTGCCAGCGATTAGTGCTGTGTGTCTGTGTATACCAATGTGACTGCCGAGTTGGGACGCAAACGGGACCACTGCTGTACCGTATATGACACAAGATAACACACCCCCTTGACCAATTTTCGAAGCACGATTTCTCAACTGCAGGAACAGTCACAGCGCCGAAAATGGCGGCGTTGAAACCGTCTCGTCGAGAGCTTTTCGAAAATTTATCATTTCGTTTATGCATCCTCTTCGTCGTGGAGTAATCGAGCTTTGAAAATCGGTCCAGGGGGTGTGTTATCTTATGTCATGTACGGTATGCATAAGTACAATTTACAGAATACCGTGACACAGGATACCACCCCTGGACCGATTTTCAAATTTTAATTACTCGCAGCAGAAAGAGTGACAGCCGTAGTGCCGATTATTGCGGCGTTGGAACAATCCCGTCGAGATCGTTCCGAAAACACATCAATATGAGTTGGCATCCTTCTTGGAGTATTGTAGTGGAGCTTTGAAAATCGGTCAAGGGGGTGCGTTATCTCGTGTCACCCACTGACTGCTGTAGTGCGTGGCCAGCTGCTGCAAGTCCAACAACTGCGGCTGCGGGCAAGAGTCCGTCACAACTCTGCTTACTTCTCTGTACAATCGAGACGCAAGGATCAGAAACTGCGAAGGTCTCGTGGCAGCACGGCAGCACCAACCTGGTGGGATTTTGGGTGGGTCTACAAATGATACGGTGCCGCCAGTGGTTGGTGTACATGCAGCACTTGTCCATGGCAATTGTAGGAGGTAGGAGAGTACATGCATCTGAAAGAAAGGTGACTACAGCAGTAGTAGTTACGTATGGCATACGCATTCCTGTCCCCGGCATGGTACACTTACCCTGTGCGAGCAACCCAAGGAGCTTGCCGGCTTGTTTTTCTGGCGAAGGCGCCATTCCAGCGACTCGTGGGTGATTGAAATCAGGAGTCGCTGGTCGTGGTGTAATGGCGGTACGAAAAACGCGGCGTAGCTTCGGACGCGGGACTGTGTGTGGGTGGAGCGCGAATATCCAAGATCCCAACATCCCAACGATCCACAGGAACAAGCCAAGGAGCCAAGGAAACACATTTGTCATGGATGTGTGCTTCATGAACCTCTCCCTTCATGGGACCCGTTTGACCCATTGTAAAATACTTCGATCCTCAACTTGGGCTGGTTTCTCAGCCGACCCTCTTCTAAGAAAGACGGACTAAATAGTCTAGCCCTTGAAGGGAACACTGAGCTAGGTACCTTTTTGGCCGAGAACCCGCCCCATCCTCGAAGCGATTCACCGACATCCCCATTACGAATACAACTGTGCTGAAGACACACATCTCTCACTCGCTGTCCCTCTCCTTCTCTCCCGGACACTCTCGTCGTGGCTGGCCTCGCGAACCCGGTCGAGCAGATCGTCTGCCATGCGCAACACCCACCGGCTTCGACGTCGCCAGTCGAGCGGTGTCGCCGAAAAATGCACAACGCGGCGACCATGGTTGCTGCAATGAACATCTGTTACTTCTCTCGGGTGCTAGGGAACGAGCTTCGGTGGACTGCTGTGGTGATGGTCGTGACTGCGCTCCCAGTTTTCAAAGGCGCCTACATCTTCGCAGTTCGAATGTGGATCTACACGTTGAGTGAAGATGCAGGCGTGAGGGGTTCTCTTCTTGAGTACAAGTAACTCTCTAAATCAAACACAGGAGAATACTGTAAATACACGCTGTCAATGATGGACCATCTGACACGATTTGCAGTCCTTACACCGATCCCAAACATATCCGCTGAACCATAGCGAACGTGTTAATCGAAAGGACAATCAGGATCTTTGGACCACCAGAAATGCTACATTCTGATCAAGGCACCGAATTCGAAAACAAAGTCATTCACCAGCTACAAACGATTCTTGGATACCAGAAAACCCGCACGACTCCATATCGTCCGCAGGGTAATTCCGTGTTTTGAACGAGTACATTCGACAATGCATGCAATGCTCGCGATGCACAGTTCCATGGATCGTGACAACTGGGCGGAGCTTTTACCGATGGTTCAGTCAGCCTACAACACGTCTTTCAACAAAACCATGCATGCATGAAACTCCGTGTTTTTTTATGTTCGGTCGCCAAGCACGTTTACCTGTAGATATAATTCTGGGCAATCCACACGTGGAATCTGCACCAGACACCGAAACATTCGCCAAGAATACTCGCGATAATCGACAGATTGCTTTTGAACTAGCACGATAAAACTTGACTGAACGAGCCACAAAACAAGCTGCTCGAAACGAACAATTGTCGCAGTTGCCCGTGTTCAAACCAGGTCAAAAAGTGCTTCTATACAAGCCGTACCAAGACTCAGACGGGCCGAACCCGAACTGCTTTTACCGTGGTGCGGGCCGTATATTATTTGTTCACAATTGTCACCAGTTGTGTATCGAGTAAAACAACCAAACGAAACACGCGAAGTATCCGTCCATCTCGCCCACTTGAAACAGTATCGTGCCAGAGACACTCCACCAGCACCACCGTTTGACAAACTAGCTAATTACTTCCCCGGGAAACAAATTCCCCGGGCAACTGTGGATCAAACCACTGATGATCAACCGCCTTTAGAAAGATAAGTCTATGTGGTTCAGAAGTGGTGAGCCACAGAAGTGGTCGTGGTCGTAAAGGTCCTCTCAATTACACCTACAGGTTACGCCTGAGAGAATATGGTCCTGAGTCAGACTTGATTGATATATCGTGCAGATGAAATTCCTCAGTGCGGGGAAAAGATTTCTGCATATAGATCATCAGCACACGGTTTAGATCCTGCACCTAAAATCCAACAACAGCATACACCAACCAAGAATTTGAAACGCAAACAAGACGATGCTCAACCATCATCGAAGCGAATCAAACCTTCGGAAGGTCCACGCGTTAGGATTAAACAAAAGTTAAACGTGCCGGTCACCAATCTCTAGCACCCGCGCGAGCTGCTAAAGATAGAAGTCACCCGAAATGCACTAAAACATCCAAAGCTCAACGGAAGAGTAAAAGGAAAAAGAAGGCAAACACGAGATACATATCACGTGTACACAAACGGTAA